AGCTGGCTGTGGTGGCGAGATGTTTCCCTCCAGTGGTGGAAGAACAGATCCGGGCAGGGGTGACAATCCCTCTGTGCCCACACCCCGCCAGCACAGCCTGTCCCTGCTCCTTTATTCCCTGCTCTCCTGAGGTCACCTGCAGGGACAGGATGTGCAGCCCAGGAGAGCAAACAAGACAGATTTCCAGCATTCTGTTTCATCTGATGAGTTGTTGAGTCTCCTGCGGCTGCTGGAGTGGGAACTGCTTGTGCTATCTCCATCCCCGTCCATCCCCGTCCATCCCCGTCCAGCTCCGTCCAGCTCCGTCATTGTTTACCTCCTCAGGGCTGACCACAAGCCTTGTGGAGCCTCCCCTTGGAAAAAAACAGCTCAGAACAGTTATTTTTATGGAAATAATGAAGCAATGAGTGGATTTAGAACTGTGTTGGAGGTAACCCTTCCGCTGCTGTGGGTTCCCACCAGCCAAGGAGAYGAGGTGCCCACAACAGCACCTTCCACTCATCCATCCCAAACCACAGCCTCTGGAGCAGGCTGTACCTGCCTGCTCCAGCCCCAKGTTCCCCACACCTCCTCCTCACCTGGAGAGAGGTGAGGCTGTGTATCACCAAGAGCCAGCTGGCCTCGAGCACGGCTGAGCTCTGGTGCTGGTTCTCTTTAGCCCGTGGCAAACCCACTACTCCAAAATTCCCACCTTGCTCCGTGTTTTTATGAGTACGAGCTCCTCATTCCCTACACGTTCCTATGAGCTGTTGTTAACCCTACAAACGTAACCTGTGTAATAGCTTCTCTGTATATTACAGCTGTAGGCTTTCCAGATAAAAGTGGATAATATTTATTTACTGAAGATACTGGATATTTTTTTGTTTGGGAATGGGGTAGGGGGAGAAAGGGGACATAACTGTTTAAAGAGATCGACTATGTAAAGAGAAACAAAATACACAAAAAGCAGAGAAACCCAACACTAAAACATTGCTGTATTCAAGTAGAAAGTGTTTCCGTTAAAGACAAAACAACTGTATTAATCTGCCATTGTTTAACTTGCTCCAGAAATCATCTCCTTGGTTCCTGCATGTGAGATATTCCAATAAATACACTGTTAGTGTGAGCTGGGGGTGCTATCGTCTGTCTCTCAGCTGGGGATTCRCTTGGCTGCACTGCCTGGCCTGAGCACAGGGGATGAGTGAGCACAGGGGGCACGCGTGGCTTTGGGTACCCACCAGATGTCAAAACCRGGAGTCCTCGGTCTCCTCCAGGTGACAGAACCTGGATATTCCCCCTGGGAGAAGGTTTGTCTCCAACAGTTGCTCCCTGCGTGTGTGGTTTATGCTGTGCTCGATGCTGTGTTGCCAGTGCTGCTAAATTGGTGTCCCACTAAATGCTGGCACATCTTTTGAGGGTGACATCAGGCAGGTGCACGGGTGACAACCTGGGTGCTCGGTGGGAACCTGTCCTCCTCGCAGGGCTTAACTCATAGTCCTTGGAAGGCACCTGTGGATCACCACCCTGGTGACCTACAGAGTAGTGGGTGATGTTCCCAGCCCATGCAAGGGCCACTTTCCTGACTCATCAGCCAGGAATTTTTTCCAATATCCCCACCACTATGGCAGTTTTGATGGGCAGAGAAGGAGGAGCACCCATTTAGGAACTCCAGAGAAGTGGCATTGGCYAAATCTGAACCAGTTTGGTAGAATGGTGCCCTCCGTGCTGCATGTGGAGATCCAAGCTGATCRTTTAAAGCTGGGAAAGGGGTGTGGAATAGCTGGAAAGATGGGATTCCCCTCCCTGTAGCCACATATTAGCATTAAACAGCCCTGCCCCAGCTTGTTTACCCCGCACTGATCATGTGCCTGGCTCCATSTCGGATGCTTTCAGGGAGGTTCCTGGCCTGGATCTGTTGGGAAAGGTGCRGAGCTGCTGCTGCCCTGACGAGGCAGAATCACACAAAAAGCACCGGTTCAGAAATGTCCAGCAGGAGGGACGGTGGGAACGGGGCCTGTGGGAGTGGGGGATGTGGGAGCGAGGGGACTGCTCCTTGCAGGGGCTTCACCACATTGTCCTCTGCAGCCCCATGATGACACTCGTGAGGGGAAGATCCCTCTAGCCCCAAATTCTACCTCCAGCAGGGCCAGACAGGGTGCAAAGGCAAGAGTGTGAGAGCAGGGCAAGCACATGGGGAGTGATTCAACTCGCCAAAATGAGCATGGCTACCCCAGATTTGTGAGCCCTGATGGGCTTCTTTTCTCCAAACCTGCTCCCGCAGTGACGGTGCAAACTCCCAGCATGGGCTGGGGGCTTCCACACATCACTGCCCTGCACCGTGGGCTGCCAAGCCTGGGCACAGAGCACAGCACTGAGCCCATATGGGCAGAGCCTCGGGCAGGCTGCGTGCCAYGGCTTTCTGATTTGGATGCCAGTGCAAATAGGAAATGACCACACGTGCATTTACCTTTTTCCATTTCACCTGGGGGTAAATAAACCTGGAACGGGGGGGGGCTGCACTGGAAGGCCACCAAACCTGGCTKCATCTTTCCAAGCTCTGGCTCAGGAAGGGACAGTTGGCAAAGCCGAATGACAGGCAGTGAAGGAGTGTCTTTTGAATCTGTTTGCGACACAAATTAATGATTAACGTCGCGCTCTGCCAGAGCAAAACAACCCGCAGGGCAGGCAGGATGCCAGAGGCTGGGCACGGAGCATGGCACGCTGCTTCCAGCGCAGGACTAAGGTGCGCAGGCAGGTGGGAAACATCAYTTTGGGAGAGCCGGGCTGGCTGAACGAGAGCGCAGCAGGATGGGGGATGCTCCGTTCGGAGGCTGCCGCGTTCAGGCGCTCCCATCCCGGAGTGCGGCTCGGGGAGATGCTGCACCGCCCGAGCCCCGCGGAGCCGCGCCAGCCCGCCCGGCCGGCTCGGTGGCCGGAGCCCAACCATCSCGGGGCCGGTTTGTTTTCTGTCTCATCCTGCGGTTTCCTCCCAGCCTGCGCTCAGGAAAACGTCTGAGCGACTCCGGCGCGACCACGTGGCCCGTCCGCCATCCCCGCAGGACTGACATGATGTAATCGCGGGCCCCGAGCCGTGATGCAGAATCACTCCACTCAGGGCCGCCGCGCTTATTGGCTGCGTGGCCCTGGTCCTACGGGCGGGGTTTTCCCTGCTCCGCAACCCAGCGCACCCCCGGGAGCCCCACCCCGCGTGGATTCCATCGCCCCCAAAGCCGCTTCGTCCTGCCCCGGTGCGTGGAGGGTGCTGCTGTTTGCTGGGGTGTCCTCCTCACCCCGGAGCGGGGGAAGCATCACCTGGGGGCTCCCGGCGTCCACAGACCCTCAGGAGGGGGATCGGGGAAGGGATCTGGAAAAGCCCCGGTTCACACGCAGCTTGTGTGAAAATTTAGCTGTGTTTACTTGTGTTATTTTCCCCGTCTATGTTTATGTGTGATTGTCCCCCTCTGTGTTTATGTGCGTGATTTTGCGCCCTATTTTTCTCAGGAAAGGCTGTGCCCCGGATCTTGCACAGGTTATTAAAGGTCTGTGACCCCCACGCTTGCACAAGGCTGCTCTACATCTATGGGGCCACAGCACATCCATCTCTCCAGCCCTGGAAACCTSCCCTCTCCTCCTGCAGCCCACAGACTGCTCCAAGGGAAGGGAAATCCCACTACCACAGAGCTTGGCTTCTCACCAGTGACCCCAATAAAAATGGGGGGGAAGCACACAGTCACCTGCTCGTCCCATGGCAGGTTGTGGATCTCCAGAGGGTTTTCCCTCAGTGATGTTTGCTGTGGATGAGGGATGTCGGAGCAGCCGATGGTGCCCCATGTGTGGGTGACGCTGCCCCGGCTGCTGGCACGGAGCTGAGCCAGGATTCCCCGGGCTCGTCCCCAGCTCGGGCTCAGGTCATTGTCCCTGGACTGAGGAGGCCGGAGTGGGGGTGAGGGTGCAGAGGGCACCATCAGGGCTGTGCACCCCCAGCTCTGCTCTGTGTTGTCCCCAGTGAGCCCTGGGGTGCTCCGTGCCACACAGGGGATCCCTGCATTGCAGAGGGTGCCTGCTGTGCCACCACCTGGGAGCCACTGAGGCCAAAGGGAAGTCTTTAAGGTGCAGCCAGGTTTAATGAATTCCCAGGTAGCCTTAGACTGTGCTTGGTGGCATGGAAGAGAAGAGGGCAAACTTCCAGGGAGCTGATGTCCTAAATGAATCCCAGCAGCAGGACAAAGCATGTAGCTCTGCAGGGCACAGGCCATGGCATTGTCCTGGCGTGAGACTCCCACAGCACTGACCCCAATGGCACCAGCATTTGTCCTGGGTACCACGGCTGATGGCCCCAGGAGGGTGCACGGGTTCAGCTGAGGCTCACAGGGCAGCACTGGTGTGTCCCTAAGCAGGGGTGACAGCTGCTCCCACCCTGGGCCRTGCCATGGTCGGGCAGCACAGGCGGGACGTGCTCTGAGCCCTGGAGCTGGGACAGGGCAGGCACAGGGCCTTTGACAGGTGGCTCAGTGGTCCAACCTCGCCCTGGCACGTGGCCTCCACGAGGTGCTGAGGCTTCTGCAGCCATGGCCACCATGTCCTGCCCACACTGGCCCTCCCTCCTGCTCCCTGTATGCCCCGCCAGGGACTGAGGGCCCTAATGCCCAGCCCAGGTATTTAGAGCCCAGCCCAGAGATTTGGTGCCTGTCCCCAGCACTGAATGACGTCCCTGGGGCTCAGTGATATCCCCGGGGATCGATGAGTTTTCCCGGGCTCAGTGTCTGTTCCCAGGGCTCGGTGCCCGTCCCCAGGGGTCGGTGACATCCCCAGGGGTCGGTGACATCCCCGGAGGACAGTGTCCTGCTCTTGTTGCAGCCTGCGCTTCTCCCTGCTCAGCTGCTGGTGCACCAGCTCCCTGTCCAGTACCGCCGGACCCTGCCCGGTGTCGCGGGGTCCCTGTCCGGTACCGCCGGACCCTGCCCGGTGTCGCGGGGTCCCTGCCAGGTACCGCCGGTCCCTGCCCGGTGTCGGGATCCCCGCTCGGTGCCGCCGCGGGTCCCGGTGCGGCGGGGCGGTGCGGGGAGGCGGCGCTGGGCGGGCCCCGGTGGCGGACCCGCCTCCATCCATCCCCCCCGCCCTCCCCGCCCGGTGGCAGCTCCGGGCACGGTTCGCGGGAGCAACTTGGCGGCTCGTCCCCGTGGTGCCTGTGCCCGGGCCAGCGCGGCCATGGCGGGCGGGCGGCCCCGCTGCCGCTAGAGCCGCCCGAGCCACCGGAGCCACCGAGAGCCACCGGAGCCACCGGGAGCCACCGGAGCCGCCGGGATGAGCGCTCTCGCCTTCGACGACGCGGCCCTGGAGGGGCTGGCACCGTCCCTCGGCCTCTCCGGGGCCAGCGACATCGACACGGCCCTGCTCAGCGACATCGACGGTGCGTCCCGGCGGGGACGGGATGGGGCACGGCCGGGGCTCGGGCACGACCGGCACCGGGCTGGGGGCATTACCGGGGCTCGGTGCATGGCCGGGGCTCTGGGGTCGGCGCTGTGCTGGGGTTCGGTATGACCGGGACCGGGCTGTGGCATGGCCGGGACCGGGCTGGGAGAGAACCGGGGCTCGGTGCATGGCCGGGGGTTGGGCACGGTGCGTACCGGGTCTTGGTGCATGGTCGGGACATGGCTGGGGGTATGACCGGGGCCTGGGGCACAACCGGGGCCGGGATGGGGCTATAACCAGGCTCGGTGCATGGTCAGGACCGGGCTGGGGGTATAACGGGGTCTCGATGCGTGGCCGGGATCGTTGTGGGGGTGTAACCGGKGCTCGGTGAATGGTCGGGCGCGCTCGGTGCATGGCCGTGGCCGGAGAGTCCGGGCTCGGTGCACGCTCAGGGAACTCGGTACCGGGACATGGCCGGGGCAGCGGGACCGGTGCACAAGCAGGTCTTGGTGCGTGGCCGGCGGACCGGGCTCGGTGCCGGGCCCGGCATGGGGAGCGGGGGACACCGGGCTGCTGGAGAGCGGGGTCGGTGCAGAACCGCGCTGGCTCCGGTACCGGGGCCGGTCCACAGCGAGGGGCGGGGGGAGGGGGGCACCGACACCCGGACCCTGGGCTGGAGGTGCCGGTACCGGGACAGCCCCGACGATCCCCCCCCGTTCCCGGTCACAGCATCGTGTCGCCGGTAGCCCCGCCCCATCCGTGACGCCACCGGCGGGGGTTACTCTCGGTCATTCCCTCCTGGGTTCTCCCAACCAATTCAAGCGGCGTGTGGCGAGATGGGGCGGCTCTGCTCTAGCCCCGGGGCTGGCACTCGCCAACACCCCCTCCCCGCCGCTGTGGGTCCGTGGGGTGGGGGTGCTCCAAGGGGGCCCATTCCCGGAGGAGAACCCACTTCCCAAAGGAACACGTCCCTCAAAGSGACCCACTTCCCACCACCACAGCACCACGTGCGCTGAGTTCAGTGTTTCCAAGGCTTTAGCAAAGAATTGGGGATCCCAAAACATTTGAGATCCCAAAAAAATGGGGATCCCAGCCCTCGGCAAGCCCCACAGCTGCCTCGCCACGTGCTCCACCAGCTCTGCAGGTTCGCGCCATCCGGCACAGCCGGTGGAACACGCGCTGAACCTTCCACCTCCTGCCCCACTGTGTGGTCCGTGGTGGTCTCCTCTGAGAACTGGGATGGAGATGGCATCCCAGGTCTGCAGGTTCATCCCRGTAGCAGTCGGGGTGGATCAAAGCAGATCCAGGTGCCACCTGCTTTTCTTGGCCAGGTTCTGGCGTGGGCAGGGAAGCAGGAGCTGTGCCAGGGCTGAGGGGTGCCGTATGGGATGAGGTTTTCCCACTGTGGGGTTCTGCTGTGCTCCTTTGTATCACAGCGAGCCAGGACACCTCGTACCCCACAGTTCCCCCAARTGGGTTTGTCACGGGTCCCCGGTTGGCCATGGGTTGTCCCTTGTCCCTGTGCCAGCCCTCGGGTGATGTGGGATGTGTCCCCAGGGATGTGGGTGCCCTGAGCCCCCTGGAACCTTCCAGGACCCACAGCCCTGTGGCTCTGCCCCACAGGGTCCCACGGCAGTGCTGGAGATGGCACTGCTGGGTGCCCGTGTCCTGCTGATGGCCTGGGTGGCAGCGGGGGCCACAGCACAGAAACACCTGGGAGATGCCAGGAGGGGGGGACAGCCCTGCCCACCCGCAGGCTGGGAACAGGGAGCGGGGGGGCTGAGGGAGCACCCCCTCTCTGCTGCCCCAGACTCTGCTCTGGACCGCGAGGGAGCTTTGGGGGATGGGGGAGGGTCTCTTGAGTGGACGGAGGGCTGGGACCCCCTGGAAGGACCCTGGGAGCCGCACCCACACAGGGCARGGCGCCGAGGGCTGGATGGTTTTGGGGTGCAGCAGAGCTGTGTGCAGACCCCGATCRTCGCGGGGTGACTCCCGGGCAATGATTGAGGGGCGTCACACCGGGCTGGGGGGCTCGGGGGGCGATGGGGCGCGGGCAGAGGGGCTAACGGAGCGTGACCCCGAGTAACCGCGGGCGGATGGCGGCGGATGCCCGCGAGTAACCCGGTGCCGGGCTCACCTTGGGCGCCGGGGGCTGTCCGGGGGCGGCCGGCGGGCGCGCAGGCGGCGATTGGCGGAGTCGCATCACCCCACCGCCGGCCGCGCTCCAGCCCTGGCGCGGGCAGCGCGGGGAGGGCGCCGGGGAGGAGGCGAGAACATGGMTTTAAAATATCCCGGGGCCTCGTCGCTGCCCGGCACGGGGCTGAGCGGGGGTCGCAGCCTCCTCCTGGGGATCCCCCTGCTCCCACCCGCATGGAGAGCACCTTTAAAGGTACCCCCGCCTCGCCTGGCGGGGTCACCGCCGTGCTGCCTCTCGGAGTGCTGCACCCCGCGGGGACGGGGGTGTCCGGGGGCTGTGTGGCTCGGTGGGGCTGTGCGGGGGCGGGGTGCTTTGGGGGTAYCCGCGTGGGGGTACCCCGAGGTCTGTGAGTGCAGCAGGGCTGTGCCGGGGGTACCGGAGTGCGGGGGATCCTGGGGTGTGGGATGAGCCTGGGGGGACCGGGATGGGGCATCCCTGCGTGGTGGGAGGTGTCCCAGGAACCCCGATGTGTGGATGTCGGGGTGTGTCTGTGGGGCACCCACGGAGTGGGGCAGACCACCCTCGGGCTGTTCTAGCCCCGTGCTTGCCCAGCTGCCCTCCTGAGGGGTGTTGTTATCAAACACACTTGGCACCAGGGTCTGGCACCATCCTGGGGTGCCATCCCACTGTCCCTGTCCCAGCACCCCCTCCCCTTGAGACAGGGGCTGATTTGGGGCTTGTCGGGGTTTCCAATACGGAATAAATGAATGAGCTGGCACAAGTTCCCCTCAATATCAGAGACAGGCTGAGATGTGCCCTGCCACTCCCAGCCCAGGCTGAAAACCACTGACTGCTGTTGGCAGAGCCCGGACACCCCACTTTGAGTGCCATGCCTCAGTTTCTCCGCTGGCAGGATGGCAGGGAGGCTGAGAGGAACAGGGCACAGCAGATCCATGGGCTCGCAGGGAATTTCGCCCCTGGATTATGGGGATCTGGCCCCAAAATGCTGCGCTGCGGGGAGGGCAGCAGGGCCAGCACAGGCCCACCTTGGGGGACACGGGACAGCAGCTGACAGCCCGGGGGGTGTGTTTTACAGACATGCTGCAGCTCATCAACACGCCGGACAATGACTTCTCGGGGCTGTTCGACTCACCGTTCAGTGCCCCGSACAGCGCCGTGCCCCCGGGGCTCCCCTCCACGCCGGGCACCCTCAACACCTTCCTGGGTCCCAGCAAACCGCCGCCCCCCGCCGCCCCCACCGGTAGCGCCTACGCGGGGCCCCCCGGCATGGCCACGTTCGGCCCGCAGCCCCCGGCCCCGCTCCTGCCGGCGCCAGCGCTGGGTGTCAAGGAGGAGCCGCCCGTGGTGCCCAGCAGCCAGCCCCAGCCCCAGCCCCAGCCCGG